ATTGGTCCCATTGGACTCCCTGCAGATGCCAAAATTTGCAACCACTCAAAGTTCCTTGTGTGAGATGTAACCTGACACTGTCTCATACATTTTACTGTCTTTAGATGGCTCATACAATGTAAATGCCATACTGTACCATCAGAGACTCATGATAGGACAAAGAACCTTGCATACTTAGTACAGACATCACCCTGGTAGGTAGGCCCAGCTACACAGCCCAGCGGGTATGAGGAGAGGCTGCTCACAGCAGAGCTGGACCCAGGAAGTGGCGAGGCTGCAGCAGAGTCAGTCCACACAACACTCATCAGCGGGCTCAGTGTGTGGCAAATTTAAGTTTTGATTTTTGCAGCTTTCTAGATCTTTAACAGAATATTTTCAGGAACTGGAGAAATGATTCAGCAGTTAAAGTACCCTTGCAGAGTACCTGGGTTCCATTCCCAGCAGCCACATGGTGGCTAACAACAGTCCATAACTCCAGATCTAGGAGATTTGACACCTTAATAAAATATTAAATAGATAAAATATTTTTAAAAATATTTTCAGGCCGAGGGTGGTGGCGCACGCCTTTAATCCCAGCACTTGGGAGGCAGAGACAAGGCCAGCCTGGTCTACATAGTGAGTTCTAGGCCAGCTGGGGCTACAGGGGAGACCCTGTCTCAAAAAGACCAAAAAAAATTTTTTCAATTCACGTTTGGTTGAATCTTCAGATACAGGCCCTGTGGATATGGAGAGATGATTGTATTTCACTCAGCATGTTTACAAGGTTCATCTACATCCTGTCGTATGTCAGAATTTTTCTCCTTTTTAAGACTGAGTAATATTCTGTGGCATATTTGGACAATTTTCTGCTTATTGCTGTGGGTGGACCCTTGTGTTGGTTCCCTCTTGTGGCTATTGTGAGTACTGCTGCTATGAATACAGGTGGACAGGAGTCTGCCTTAGGTTCTCTGGGGCAGACACCTAGGATCCTGGAATAGCCAGGTCCTATGGTAATTCTACATTTATACTCTTGAGGAACAGCTTCATGTTCCCTAGTTACTGTTCCCTGTTTCTCCAAGTGCCATACTTTCTATTGTCTTTGTTTGATTGTCTGGTTTTTGATTTGCTAGTTTTGAGACAAAGTCTCACCTTGTAGCCCAGACTGGCCTCCAACTCAAATCAGGCCTCCTGCCTCAGCCTCCCAAGGGCTGGAATTTCAGGTGTGTGCATGACAGACAGATGATATGCACTCCTCTAGTGACCAGTGCTGCTGAGTACCTTCTTATTGACCATCTGTATGTCTTCTCTGGACAAATGTCCTCTCAAGTCCCTTGACCTTTTTAAATGGGGCTGTTTGCTTTTTTGTTGTTGAATATAGCTGAGATGTTAATCCTGGGTCAGCTGCACAGTCTGCAAATGTTTTTTCCAAAGTGTGAGTTCTTCTTCCCTATCACCTCCCTCTTTTTCTTGTCAGGACAAGATTGAGATGGGGTCTTACATAGCCCAGACTGACCTTGAACTTGCTGTGTCGCTGAGAATGACCTTGAACTTCTGATTCTCCTGACTTTATCTCCCCAGTGCTGAGATTACAGGTGTGCCTCCACTACAGTACTGGGGTTCTAACCCAGTAGGACTCTTCATGATGCTGGGCAAACACTCTACCAAGTGGGCTGTGTCCTCAGCCCTCTCTTTGCAGTATCTTGAAGTGATATGCTTTGATGCACAAGAGCTTCTAATTTTTTTATTTTATGTGTATGTGTGTAATGCCTGCATGTAGGTAAGTGCACCCGTGTCATGCAATGCCTGCGAGGGAACTGGAGTTATGGACAGTTGTTAGTTGCCATGTGGGTGCTGGGATTCAAACCCGGGTCCTCTGAAAGAACAACCAGTGTTCTTAACCACTGAGCTATCTCTCCAGCCCAAGAGCTTCTAATTTCGATGAAGCTCAGTTTGTCTGTCTGCTGTTCTGTTGCCTTTGCTTGGTGTCACATCCATGAATTTGCTGTCAAGTGTAGTGTCATAAAGTTTTCCTGTGTTTTCGTCTAAGGATTTTATAGTTTCCAGCCCACATCCTTGAGTTGGTCTCATATACACCAAAGATCACTGAAGACGTTTAAGGAACAGTTCTTAACAGAGACATCCTGTGTCTTCCCTCAACTGTCATACCTGTCACCTCACTGATGGCCCCTCTACTGGCTTCTGCCTCCCTCTGACATAGTCCTTGCAGTCTTTGATAACCTCTTTGCTTTCTGGTGCAATGAGATGCTCCTGCCTGGTTTGTTTTCTACATTTTCTGTCTTAGACCTGGAAGCAGCCATTTCTTCCCAATGTTCCAACAGGTTTTTGAAAGCCGGCCAGGTACAGGTGCTTTTAGCCACAGGAATGTTTCTTGTTTCCAGCATGAGCAAAGCCCTTGGTTTGATTCCCTAGCACCACACAAACCAAGCGTGGTAGCATATACCCATAATCTCAACATTAGGGAGATAAAGGCAAGAGGATCACAAGTTCAAGGTCATCTTTGGTTGCATAGAAAGTTGAAGGCCTGCATGGGCTAGAGGAGATTCAAAATAAACTAAAACACAGTGTATCAAAAACACAAAAATATCTGGGTGTGGCGGTACATGCCTTTAATCTCAGCATTGAGGCAGGCAAATCTCTACAAGAAGGAGGCTAGTCTGGTCTACATAGTATGTTCCAGGCCATCTGGGGTTACAGGGAGACCACGTCTCAAACCTAAAAAAATGAACACTGTGTACAAAAATTCACACAGGTCTCAATTCAGATTTGGACTTTTTGTGTAATGTCCTTAATTGTAATCTCATATAGCCTTCCTCTTGGTTACAAACACCAATGCTTCTATCATCAGCAATATGAACCAAGCTTAAAAGCTTCCGAATATATGCCAGTGAGATGGATCAGCAGGTAAAACCACCTGAGTTTGAGCCCTGGGACCCACATGGTAGAAGAGAACCAACCAACTCCTGCACGTTATCCTCTTACTTGCACGTGCATTCCATGCATATGTGCTCTCTCCCTCTCACACACAAGCACACACAAATAAATATAATTTTTGAAAAAGATTTCAGGGGGACTGAAGAGATGGTTTGGCCATTAAGAGCACTGGTTGTTCTTACAGAAGACCTGGGTTTGACTCCCAGCACCCACATGGGAGCTAACCACTGTCCATAACTCCAGTTCCAGGGGATCTGATGGCCTCTTCCGCAGGCACTGCACAACAACAGGTGCACTTACATACATGCAGGCAATACACTCATACACATAAAATTAATAAATAAAATGTAAAAAAAATAAGTAAATAAAAAGAGTTCAGAGTAGCAATGTCATTATTACCAACACTAGGATATTTGTGGGTATTTTTAAATCTTTTTTGTGTGTGTATATGTATGATGGCGGAGTTCATATGTATGTGCCACAGTGTACATGTGGAGGTCAGAAGACAACCGAGGGTGTCAGTCCTCACCTTCTGCCTGAGATATGGTCTCTTTGTTCTTCACCATTGAGTATGCCAGGCTAGCTGGCATGTGAGCTCCCACAAATTCTGTTTCTACAAGCCATCTCACTGTAGGAACATAGGGATGCACAGTCTAGCTTTACATGAGTTCTGGGGATTAAAAATCAGGTCCGGGGCTGGAAAGATGGCTCAGTGGTTAAGAGCACTGACTGCTCTTGCAGAGGACCCGGGTTTGATTCCCAGCACCCACATGGCGGTTACGAACCATCCTTAACTCCAGTTCCAGGGAATCTGAGGCCTTCTTCTGACCTCCGCAGCATTGCACGACACGGGTGCACTCACATACATGCAGGCAATACACTCATATACATAAAATAAAAATAATTTCACCAGTACAGCTGGATCTGCACTGTCTGGCCAATGAGCCCCAGGAACCCTCCTATCTCTGCCTCCTCAGAACTGGGATTACAAGTGTGTTTCACCACATCTGGCTTTTTATGTAGGTTCTGGGAATCAAACTTCAGGTCCTCAACTTGTGCAGCAAGCACTTTACCCACTGAGCCATCTTCCCAGCCTTTATGTGTATTTTTAATTTTTAAATTTTTTTATTTTATTATTATTAGTGTGGGGGTGTAGGCATGCATGCCACAGTGCATACGTGGAAATCAGGGGACAAGTTTCTGGAGTAGCCTTATTCCTTCCACCTTTATGTGGGTTCTGGGGATCCAACTTAAGCTGCCAGGCTGTGCAACCAGCACCTTACCCACTGAGCTACCCCACTGGCCTGGCATCTTCAGTTTTTTATCTGTAGCTATGCCCCTGTGGTGTCAGTTTATTGCTTCCAGGCTCTCAGAACCCTCCTCCTGCACTGATCTCTCCTTCTCCAGATTTTCTTTTTTTTTTAAGACAGGGTCTCCTTATAGCCCCAGCTGTCCTAGAACTCACTATGTAGACCAGGCTGGCCTTGAACTCACAGAGATCCTCCTGCCTCTGCCTCCTGAGTGCTGGGACCAAAGGTGTGCACCACCATGCCCAGCCTTTCTTCAGATTTTTTTTAATATTTATTATTTTTATTTTATGTGTATGAGTGTATTGCCT